TGTTTATCTAAAAGACTTCTTATTTTTATGAGCATCAATTCAACTAGGCAAACTGTTATTGAGCATCAATCATTGTACTTTGAGATAAAGCCCAGCTAGCTGATTTCTGCTTTCTTTGGAGAGAGAGGGCAAAAGTATTTAAGATACATTTATCACTGCCTATGCAAATTGTGAAAGGAATTCGGGAATGTGCTGTGATCTGTGTTGCATTTTAGCTACTCTTTAAGAAGCAGATGGTTTATGCTCCTAATCATATTGTAGTTACAGTTAAATGTTTACCTATCTGCCTCTTCTATCAGACTTGATTGGCAGAAGTCAAGTTTGTGCTAAATTATATTTTGTGTCAGTATCACCTAGCATAGATTTGGCACATTCTAACTATAGCATAGATGCACATATGAATGATTGTGCCAATTAGTGAGATGTTGGTAAGCATGTGGAAATAAGAATTAAGTTCATACTTAAAGCATCTGTGTAGAGGTTTAATCTTCCAGAGGGGAATACAATGATCATATTTATAAAGTATGTAGATGGTAAAATGTGAATACCTTGCAAGATGATGAGATAACAACTGTTTATATTTTAAAACATTCAAAAACTTTAGTGGGCATCAATTTAAAAGAGTTATCTTCTATGCTATACCTTCATAGTAAAAGTGAAAAGAAAGCAACAATAGTTAAATTAACAGGAGAGCCTATATTTCTCGCTTAACAGCTAGGAAAAAGAAAAAAAGGCACATTTTCTTATTGTCACAGCCCCTCTGCAGTCATATTTCTATGTAGACTGTATCCAGTGAAGGAAAAAGGCATGGTCTCAGAGAGCCTAGACAGGAGCTAATGAGATGCTAGTCCAGGAGTTACTGATCACTTCACTTAGATTCTTGCTTCTTGCCACTGCAAATTTTTAATAGACATACTAGAGATTAAAAAGGAATCCTGTGTACAAAATGCTGTAGATCCACTGGTATTGATACTCTAGCTTCTCCTTGCAAAACGAAGCACAAAAGTTTTTTTTTAAATATCAACATGTAACTTCCTAGCAAGCTAGTAGGGAATATTATGGTTATTGAGAATTTGAACTTCAGGTTAATTCTGATTGTTTTTTTAATTTTTAATTTTTATTGTTATTTTCCATGATATGGTTTTGTAGGTATAGAAATTCCCCTCTCGCCTCCCCATTTGTGTCTGACACTGCCAGACAATACAGTTTTTGTTCTGAAGTCTGGGTGCTGCGTGAGACTTTCATTCTCTAATCTCTGTACTGCAGATTCTATAGGAACACAATTGTGATCCTATAATCTTTTCCCTAAAAATATCAGTAGATTATAATGGTTAAAATGTCAACCAGCCAGGAAGGAGAGTTTCAGCATTTTTTTTTTTTTTGGTTACTCTGTGACGATACCAAAGCACAGATGGAAGTGTTATTCAGCAGAAGACTGAGAGCTGTGAATTTCCCCAATTTGTCATACTTACAGAAACACCTGGGCCAAATAACTTTCTATATCAAATTGAGCTTTTTTCCCCCTAAAAATATGTGTTTATTTCCTTGCTTTGGTGTCACACACACACACACACACCCATGAGAATCTATTGAAGGGAAAAAAATACTAAAGCTATATTACTTACAGTTGTACGGTTGCCCAAGAAAGTGCCCATCCAGGAACAAATTCCTGTGAAGGTACAGCCTCACAGAAGGCATTTGGTTAGCATTTTCATTTTTCCTTTTTAAGAAGTGCCTATTAATGAGAAAATCAGATAAGTATACCATGATCTGTCATTACAGACACATGCACCGTGGTATCTGAATAACTCTCCCAGCTTTCCTGTTTATTTGATTATCACTCATGTCTTATGGGCCAAGCTAGTGCATAAAGAGCAAAAGAAATTGATTGGCTTAAACCAGCATATGGAAAGGTGTGTGTGTGTGATTTTGCACCTTTCAAAAAAATTTTTAAAGGAGTAAAAAGAATTCAGAATGTTCTCTACAGTTTATAGTTTGATAACCTGGACAAAAGAATTTCTTTTAAATAATCTGTGTTCAATATCTTTGCTTTTTTCCTAATCTAGTCTTTTATTTATGTTTCTCATTATTTTTGTAGTTTCAGTATAAGACATGTTAAAATCATATGATTAAGGAAAATTAAAACCAATAGGCTATTTTTAGAACTGTGATCATTTTGCATACACAAGTATGGAGACCAAGTACCCTTTAATCACTTCCTGTCTAGACTTGGCTCTAGAAAAAGTCAGGGATTCCATATTCATGCATGGATCCCAGGAAAAAGAGCAAAGCCTCACAATCCTCAGCCAAGTGCGAAACAGCAGTTGACCTAGGATCAAAGGGGCTGTTAAAGGAGCTCATGTGAAGAGATTCTCTGTTGTCACTGCTATTGAATGCTTTTTAATGTATTTCCCAAGTAGAAAAGAGTCAGCTTTAAGTTTTCAATGCTTCTGACCACAGGGTACCCTTGAGGAACACCATACTTCAACCATCCTGAAGGAGTTACTGGTTCTTGCTTTAGGCATCCTTTACAAAGCAGCCATCTCACCAGCAGGGAGGCTTTCATTGAAAACCTCATCCTCTGATTTCTCTGCCTCACATTTTGCAATTTGCTTTTGGAACATTACTTACTGGACACTTTCTCTGGCAGCAGAGGGTAAATGGTGTTTCCCTTTTAAGGTTATAGGAGTTAAGATGCCTCGAGTTCATTTCTTGGGGAAGATGATGCAGACTATCTAATTCTCTGTGTCTCACTCTCATGGGAAAAAAAAATTCATGTCATCATCATATTTGGTTTGAAATTGGAGTATTTGAGAGAATATGTCAACGTCTAACCCTGCATTTTTCTTCTGGGAAGTGACAGCTTATTTCTTTTCCAAATTTTGAACTGGAGATGGAATAAGCCTGAATGCAAACTGGATCAAATTTCCACTCTTGTAGGTCAGAAAGGGTCAATTGTCAGCAGTTACACTTGATTCCACCTGCGCATGACATGACTAATTGTATCATTAAGATTCTCAGAGCTGCTGCAACCATTTTGAATGTTTAAATAATGATAACTAAATGACCATTTTGATATTTCTCCTTACATGAGTGTTGATGGAAGCAGGATAAGACAGTAATCCAAGTTAGCTCTTGAATGACATACGGTTTAACTTACTTGCCCAACCAGAATGCTATGCTACCTTTTAACTGTGTAATTTTAGAGTTTATTTAGGAGTTGATAAATAGCTTTAGTGCAATGCTTATTTTTTTTTCCTATAGCAGCATCCTCCACCCATTAATGCAGACAGAAGGTTTTTATCCAGTATGAGTGCCGAAGCTACACTGTGAAAGACTGTGCTCAGCAAAAACCTCACCCATGATGAATAAACAGCTCTTCCAGGGTCTTTGCTGCCGCTAGCTCTGCAGGAGTTGTTTATTGCCTGGTTTGCACATCCCATGCTAAAGTTGCTGCTTAAATAAATTGCCGTTTTACATAATTATTGACAACCACGTCTTAACAAGCAGTTTGTATCATATGCAAGTGCTCAATTTTTTTAAAAATCCATTTTAACTTATGTTTAATCTCAGAAAGTGTTTGTGTAGTAGTAGAAGGCAAATAAGGCATTTAAATAGAGTACTAATTTCCTCATTGCAGACAAAATTTACCTGAGTCTTTTTAAATGGGACTCTAACTGCCTAAGGTGATTTTCTTCCCAAGCTATTATTATGGATATATTTGCTAAAAGTAGGTGTAGTATCTGCAATATATGCATTATATATATATATACATATATATATATAGCATCCAAAAATATGAACCATTTTTTAAGATTTTATGTCATTAGGGAATTTGCTTGATCGTGTTTTTAAAGACAAGAGGAATGGAAAAATGATACGTGGGCAAAAGTAGCTAACACTTTACTAACTGATGCGTGACTGTACAGCTTGTGAAGCATTCAACTTTACATGTGCAGCTGTATTTACTTCTGAACACAGCATAGATAAATAAAAGTTACTAACTAGCTATGTCATACAACCAGTAAGGGACACTGGGGACTGAACCCAGCTCTGTCTGCTCTACTTTTCCTTACACGTAGCATTTTTCTCTTGGACGATGTTATTATGAGGTAATAAAACTCAATACTAATGCAGTATGTTGCCGACCAGCAGCAACACTACCTACAAGGCACACTCTTGAGTGTCTGGGAAAAGCCGGAACCGCAACTGGACCCCTTATTGCCAAAAATGGCTGCTTTTATACCGCTCTCCATGAACTGCTTCTCCCCATGGGTCCACTTGGCGCTACGTGATAGGCCAATAGCAATGACATAATCGCAGCAATCGCATCAGCCTATCCTTGTGACTTCCTGTTTACCTGCTGGCAAGACCAACCCCGCCTCCTGGCTCTGGGCCAGCCGCCATCCTGCCACGACCTTTCATATTCATGGGGGCTGCTCCGGTGCCCTGCTCCCCACAACAGTAGTCATAACAAACTGATGGCATACAAAATGATATCTTGCACAGTAGTTTCTAAAAAATGTTTTTCTCCTGGTTAGTCTTTTTCCCCTCTGCTCTCTGGTCTGCTTCTACTCCCTCTCCATGGTTTCATTTCACTCTAGCTTTGTGTATTCTTGACTTTTCTTCCTATGCAATCCTTATTTTCTCACTTAAGATGACATATAAGATATGATATAGGGATTATAAGGTTTTATGTGTTTACAAACACATATGGAGATACATATTAAAGTTTGATTATATGTGTGATTGACATATATCCTCTCCAAGGAAAAGGAGTGATATATAGAAATCTGTGATTATCTTTTATTTTCTCATGTTTTCCCCCATTCAGATGCCTTTAAGTTAATTACTTGTACAGGCAAACAGTGCCAATGATTTTAGATGTTTTAGCGGTCTTTGCTTAAAGGAAGTGCTTTACAAATGTTAAACAGTTCTGTCCCCAGAGTTCACTGGGTGTATCATTTTGATGTTTAAGACTTGAATCTGTTGCTTTGCAGAGTGAATGAGCGAGAAGCGACTTTGGAAGAAGCTCATAGATTACTGCAACAGTTCCCTCTGGACCTGGAGAAGTTTCTTGCCTGGCTGACGGAAGCTGAAACAACTGCCAATGTGCTACAGGATGCTACCCGTAAGGAGAGGCTCCTGGAAGATGCCAAGGGAGTCAGAGAGCTGATGAAACAATGGCAAGTAAGTCAAGCGTTTCCACTTGAGCACTCTGGTGGATCCGGTTGAACAGGTCTCAGCATTTATACTTGTAGCTGATAAACTAGGGACAAAACAAAATAGTTGGCTTTATGCAGTCTGGTGTATTTGCACATCTGGGCTGGAAGAGAAATGCAAGGGAGGAAAGAAAATCTTTTACAAATCTACTTAATACCCCAATATTGCAAAAGTAGGTATTTTTCACCAGAAAAAGCTAACATGTGAAACCAGAGATTTGGCCAAGGAGAAACTTGACTGAGACAAAGAAGTTAGGATTGAGTTTATTAAATTGAAAAAGTTGCCATTTTAAGTATTTACTTAAAATTTCACAAGGAAGGCATGTGTATGGATTGTCTGTTTTATTTAGCATTGCTAACTGAATCAGTTTGCCTTCATTACTTTCAAATACATTTTGAAATATTAATCTGGCATTTTGCAGCTTCTTTCTAACATGATCCATGAAAATAAAAATGAGATGGATACATTTGTCATAGTTAATGATCATATAATTTTCAGAGAATTGTTTTTCATAAAAACAAAAATGATTGCTGTAAAGTTCCATATACATACGCAACAAAACCAAAAGTTTAGGGTAGTTTTGTTTCAATGGAGTTTAATTTAAATGGAGTCTTGGTGAGAATCATATTGTTCAATTCCAGAAGCTCCTAAACTTCATTCTTGATACTTGACATAATTTTCCTAAATTATGGAGTTGTGTGATACATAGTTGATTTTTCTGGTTTGATATAAGACATTTACTAGTAAATCAAATACAATTGACAGGGTTAGAGTAATGTGATTGATTTTTTAGACTAACAAAATTGTTTTCATGTTTTTAAGATTGTGATGGAAGAAGTGATAACCTAGCTTAGCTTAAAAAACAATTCTAAAATCCTCCTCACTGTACTGCACCATTTGTTTTCTGGTTGGATGTGAGATTTGATCCACTTTGCTTCTTTAGTATATGGAATACATGGTAGAAGCAGCTCCTGCCTTCTAAAATTCCTAGTTCTTGTATCAACTGTGCCAAACACCTGCCCTAAGTTTCCTCTTCTGACATTACTTGTTCTTCCACAGTGCACGCTGACGAACTGTGATCCTTTGGAGGTCATTGGTTTGATGCCTGACTTTTTATCATTCCATATATCTTCATGGCTTGTAATAGAATATAAAAATAATACAAATTTAGATTTTTTTGCCATGTTCACTTTTATGTTTGTGGCTAGATAGTGATCTGATGCAGCTTATTTGTCCTATGACATTTCATAAACAGAATTTTATTTCACCTTGTAAATGCTCATAAACCTATTTAGAATTTTAGTAAAGATATAGGTTCATATTTTTCTTTGCCTATAGTAGATGAATATAAAGGTTTATATATATATATATATATATATATATATATATATATATATATATGTATATTCCCATTGTCTTGCTGGAAAGAATAAGCCAGTGTCTACAAATTTAATTTAGGGGCTGACATTGTGGTATAACTAGTTAAGCTGCCACCTGTGATGCCAACATGTTAATGCAAGTGCTAATTCAAAACGCATCTACTGCACTTCCAGTCCTGCTCCCTGATATGTCTGGGAAAGCAGCAGAAGCCAGTGCATGATTTCTCTTGTTCTGTCTGGGTTTTTCTTTCTTTCTTTCTTTCCTTCTTTCCTTTCTTTCTTTTCTCTCTCTCTCTCTTTCTTTCTTCCTTCCTTCCTTTCTTTTTGTCTCTCTCTCTCTGCCTTTTAAATACATTTTGTAAAATTGATGGCCAGGGATTTAATAAGAATTTTTATGAATAGTGGCTCTGACTGACGGCAGAGATCCCTCCATTTCAATTTCATCTTAGAGATTTTTCAGTTCTGCATGTACTAGCTTACAGAGAAAATACATGGCAAAATACAAGATATTGAATCATTAAATGAAATATTTGTCATGTTTCTAAACTGCATTTGCTTTGGAAGTAGAGAAACTTAACTATAATTTGAGTTTGGATTTCTGATCTCTTACAAAAATAAGGTGGAAATTAGGGTGAGAATATTTCTTTGCTTATGTCATTATCACTCAAACGTGTGTTTCCTCCTTGTTTATTTTCCCTAGTGGCTTAACCAAACTGAAAAATATTTGCTGTGCACCAGCGATCCAATGCCAGTCAGGTTCTCTTTTTGAATTTGTAAGCTACAGCACGCATTGCATATAACCTTAAGGGTAAATAAGACAGAAAAAGATTTTGAAAATAAGCGATTTTTACAGCCTCAGCCCCAAAGTGATAACCTGTATTCATCCTTAAAATGCATATGAACCACTAGAAGCACTGATGTATCATTTGCTTCTTAAACTTAGAAGCATTGTCTTGTAAAACTTCAAAATTAAAACAAAATTTTCACTTTTTCTCTCAGGTAGTGCTGTGTTTTCTATAAATTCCAGTTTCTTGAGGATTAAACTGTATTGGATGGATATGAATGACATTGCCACTTCTGATTAATCACGAGATAGTTGAATAATGGTGTTTTGATGAAAGATTTGCAGATGTTATGAGGAAAACTGCAAACTACTGAAACTCTTGATTATTGTAAATGGCACATTTCAACGGGTAGAATGGAGTGAAGTAACTGGAGTTTAAAAGTAGCAAACAGATATCCTGAGATTTAGAGTAAACAACTTATCTTAAGATAGTACATGAAATTTCAGCATCTAAGTAAATGGTAGTGTTCGTTTCTTCTTCCTCAGAATCTGAAGACTTTTCAACAACAAAATTCTGTAATCAGTATAGAGGAAAGAACTGGCATTATATGCCTTTTCACTTCATCTGAAGAAGCTGGTAGCATTAATATTAATGCCATATAGCAAGCGTACCTGTCATATGTATGTGTGTGTGTGTGTGTGTGTATACGTGTGTGTGTGTATATATATATATATATAGAGAGAGAGAGAGAGAGACTTTTACTAAAGAAGAAGAAAGCTTAGGTCAGGTGTTTAATGAGGCGATTATGATGCCCTTGAGCTAGTCCTATCCCATATTGACATGCCTAGCTTCCATTCATGGTTCTACTCCTGTTTCCAGCTTCCTGCTAATACATACCCTAAGAGGTAGAGCACAGAGGTCCAAGTATTTAGGCCTCTGCTTAGTTCTCTGCCATCCATATGGGAGATCCACATAGGGTCCTTGGTTCCTGGATTAGGGCTGGACTAGCTCTGACTGTTTTAAGCCTTTAGGGAATGAAGCAACACCAAGAAGATCAATCTCTTTGTTCCTTTCTCCCTCTTCTCTCTCTCTCTCTCTCTGTCTGTCTGTCTTTCTCTCTTTCTCTGAAATACAAATTTACGTTTTAGAAGGAAATTTTAAATGTGTGCCCAAATTGACACTTATCTTAAAATGTGTGTCTGCTGCTATGATGCTGCTATTTTCAAAGAAATCAAATTCTTTCCTTTTCTTTTTTGTGTGAGAGAGGAAGCCCAAAGAAAATGTATATTTCATAATCATAGATGTTGAGGGCAAGATCAGTGTGCTAGTATTGTCAGGATCTGGTAAGGACTCCCCGCCTGAATTTCAGGCAGCTGTCTTCTCTCCGAGTCCTCGTCTGGCAGAAAAACTCTTGTGACTCAACTTCTTTCTTATAAAACAATTCATCACATCGTGAGGGCCCCAGGAGAAGTGCTTGTCAAATACCCTTCAGACAAAGTACTCAGCTGTGGAATCACTTTAATAAGTAACAATTTTGTTTTTAAATAAGAAGGAATAACATTTATAAAGTAGAATAAAACAGAAAACATAAAATTCCCAATGTACTATTCCTAAATCAGCATCACTATTGCTCTGTGGAAATTTGATTTCACGTGTGTGTGTGAGTGTATGTGTGTGTGTGTGCACATGCGTATGAGAGAGGGGGAACAGAAAAAAATGTATGTACTAGATCACTATGGAAGATATATTCAAAAGGCTCTGTACATCCAATGGTAATTCGCAACATTCATAAGGACCTTTCACTTGAAACAAGCTTTTGCAAAGTGCTTTTATATTTATTACCTTCCAAGTGCCTCACAAAAGCTCTGTGAGGAATAAAAGACAATAGTTGTTAGGGGCTATCAAAATAGACTTTTCAATATGGACACTGTCTTTGAAGAGTTGTGGGATTTTCTTTTGGTATATCAACTCTTTGCTCTCCTATGCTATTTAAAATCATTTTATTTTCATCACAGATTCAAGCCATACAATTACTTCTGTAGTTCCTTCTCATGTACCTCAATTTCAATGTAATCTTCAGCATCTGTGTATTTTTACTTCCAGAGTCCTTTGCAGCAATTCCATCCTCTCTGGTCTCCTTACCACTCAATATCATGAATTTACTTTTTTCCTCTTCATTTCTACTCATGACCTGCCCCAATCCAGAACACACATTGCTATTTCAAGTGAAGTTTCTTGAAACATAACTTAGTTTATAACTAGAATATCAATCCCATGAGAGACAGACTTCATCTGCTTCATTTACTTGTGTATTCACATTGCCTGAGACTGTATGTGCCACAAGACAGGTGTTTCTGAGTAAATGTTTGTTAGTGAATGAAAGAAAAATGGCTCCATTTTTCAATACTTTTTATGTCCTCTCAAAGCCATCATAATATTCCATAAACTCATTGAGCTGGTTTCCCTGGATAGGCTCCAAATCTCCATTCCTAATCTTATTTCTATTTTACTTCTCCACACTCCCTCTGCTCCCATCAAAATAAACTGCTCTCCAGTCTCCTAGAGTATCTGCTGATGATGTTATTGATTCTATTGAGATTCCTTCCCATCTTCTCAATTTACCCAGATGCTACCTTTCAAAGAGCGCTCTATTTATCCCTTACCCTTTGTTCCCTGAGCCCCAAAGCAGGAAGTTTCTGGTTTCCTATAGGCATTTCTCTGTACTGTAAATGATGTGTAGTGATTTCTACATTGTTAGAGAGGCTGGAGAGGATAGGGTTTAATAGTGTGAGCTTTGAAGCCT